GTAATAATAAAACTAGAGAGTTCAGACTTTGAGAGAATTAAATGAGATGTCAATGAAAGCATTGTTGGCATTCCAGTGCACAGCACAAAACTTAATCATTGTTTTTAAAGTGTACCCATTCTTCTCTATTTAAAAATCAAGTTAAAATATAAATTCAAAGCCAATTCCTTCCCTTCGCACTATACCAAGGAAAGTAGGGAAAACTGGAATGTTACAGTTATCATGCAACTGCACAGTATCCAAACTAATAAATATTAAATCCATTTCCTTTTTTCCTCTACCAATATTTGTATTATAGTGTACCAAAGTGAAATAAGTTGAATTCATCTCAGTTACAAATAAAAGATGAAAGAAAGTTTACAACGACTATAGAAAAGCAGCTGACTAAAATGCAACCCTTAATATTGCATGGGAAGATTTAAAAATATATATAAATAAACACTACATTGATTTAAACTTGAAATCTTTTTTGTCTTTCTATGCTAGAGATTGATAGTTATTTAGGTGGTTGATAAACTATGTATACATGTTTAATATTTTGCACAATAACACTAATATGAGTTATTTAAACAAGTCAAACTCAGAAAGAGCAGGCTTATCAAAACTGAAAAAAAAGATAAGTTCAGGAGCAATCACTGTAAAGCAAGAGAACACTGCCTTGCAGGGAGATGATGTCACCTAACATACATATTTTAAAATTTGTATTCAACATGTCATAATTTTATGTATTTTAAGTGTACTATGTGGTGATTGGAAACATATGCAATGCTTAAGGATGAAATCTGTTTAATTTTTTAATGAGTCACAGAGACATTTATCAGATTATTTTTATTAATTATAGTAGCAAGTTCTCTAATATCACTCCATATTCTTCTTTCCTTGTGAATGAGTATATAAGTGTAAGAAAAATGATCTTTTCTATCAAAGTATTTGTTACCCTCTTAGATTACTTAAAAATTCCTCAGGTCGCCATCTTAGATGACTTGCATGTTTAAAGGTTCCTTGCTTCTTCTTCCGGATTCCTGTACCACTCCATTGCCCACCAAACTGTATGCCCTGACCCATCCCTCAAGCCATTTTAGCTAGTTGGGAAGATTGTGAACCTTTGACCTGGACAAATCCCAGGTGAGAGGCAGGTACAACTGCATCAGGGATGTAAGGAGGAGCCACTGTCAGCCATTTTGTGCTTGCATGTTTGCTTAGTGGGAGTGAGCACATGCTTGCACCCTCTTGATCAAGATAAATTGCCTTGTCAAGATTTTCTGTCTCTTGTGTGTCTGTTTTCAGCACCAGAGGGTTATCAATTCCAACATAAGCATCAGGGACTATTTCTATGCCTTAATTCACAAGTGATAGAAATAAAAACCTTAAGCTGGCTTAAATATTAATGAGAAATATTGGCTCACATATAAAAACACTAGACTACACTTCAGGGTTAGACAATGCAGTAATTCAACAATGTTATCCAGTAGAAAGGCTTCTGTCTATGTGACAGTGTAGGAAGTCAGATTCATCCCAATGCTGGTTGCTTTCTTACTTATGTTCAGGGAGATATATATGATCCAGATCTAACCACCAAAATGTTCCTTTATTCAGTTGATAAGGCATCCATAAAGCACAGGCCACACATGCCAAATGTGGCCATGCCATATGCTGACTAGCTAAGAACGGGGTCCTGAAGTGCTCACCTTAATAGGCTTGGATTAATCACAAAGACACTGCTGGACTGTTAACTTCCTTCATTTGCTTGAACAAGTCAAGACACTGATCTTTCCCAATAAAGAAGGCTTTGAGGGGTAACAGAGCTTAAGTGGTAGAAAAGGTACCTATATTGAGATAAACTTTATTGACAAAAAAATGTTTCTATGGTGTTATGGTTTGTCTTCCCCAAAAGGCTCACAAGTTAGGGGCTTGGTCCTCAGGAAGTGGTGTTATTTTGGTAGGTTTTGGAGACATTAGAAGATAGAACTTAGCTGAAAGAGGTTGTGGGGGAGAAGGAGGTAGATTTTTGGAGCATCTTATCCCTAGCCTCTTACTTTCCCTTTCTATGATTCCTGCCTACCTTGATGTGAGTTGCTCTGTCATGCCTTCTCCACTACTGAAATTGAGAGGCAAAATAAATTCTTCCTTCCTTAAGTTGTTTATGTTAGGTATTTTGATCATGGTCATACAAAAATAAATAATAAAGAAAATTAGTACCAGGAGTGGGGTCATTGCTATGACTTTAATTGAAGATGCAGTTCAGAAGCCTTTGGAGCAGGTTTGTAGAAGGAATTTGGAAGAGTTTAGAGAAACAGTCTAGAAAAAAGCTTAAAATGCCATATGTATAGATTAATAGGTGATTTTGGTGGGAACTCAGGAAACCAGAATGCAACAAGAAGTAGATAGTGAAGGCCAGGTTCAGGAGGTTTCTGGTGGGACCATGGATTTCAATGGAAATTAGACTGGAGGCCACTCATGATACAATCTGACAAAGAATTTGTCTGCATTTTGTCTGAGTCCTGAGACACTGAGTAAGGCTGAATTTAAAGTTAATGAACTATTTCACTTGTGGAGGAAATGTCAAGACAGCTGCTTGCTGCATTTACCCAGGTCTTTAGTGAGCATCAGGAGCAAAAATTAGACTGAAAAAACTTGAAAGCATGCAGTCTGTCCAGGAAAGAAGCACATTTAAACTTCAGACAAGGAGGAAGTGCTTGTTAGAGATCAGCATCATTAAAAAGAAATCAAGTGCTCTGCACCAGGACAGTAGAAAAAAATGCCTGAGACTATCTCAGGAATTGGCTTGATCCTAACCATCCCCGATGAAGCATAGGAAGGGTGTTAACTCATTTGAAAGGCTTGACTTTGAGAAGAGAGTTATAAAGCACCCTGTTATGCACTGAAACACCCAGGGCAATGTTCTCCAATTTCAGTTTCTCAGGCACTCAGAGGCTGCTGCAGCCATGAACCAATGGGACTGGGTTACTGCTTGAGCTGGTGGCAGACCTCAGAGTCATCCATGTGACACTGGTTTTGTAGGTACGCAGAATGCAAAAGTTGAAAAGGTCATGGAGGCTTCATCTCAAATTTCAAAGGATGACCAGTCAAAGTGTGATAGGGTCAGGATCCCTGCATGCAGACCAAAGAGAGTTTTGTTCAAAGCTTTGAGAGTAAAACCTAAGTTGTAAATGAGAGTCAGAGATGTTAGAGATTCCAGGAATGTGGAATGTCTGGTGAGGAAAACCTAGGCAATGAGTGGAGCCAGTCCGTGTGGACTGCAAACAGCAAGAACACATGGGCAGGATTGCCCAAACCCATTGGAACTCTTGTAATGACACCACATCCCCTAGGTACTAGAACTATGGGATTTAATGTTTGCCCTGCTGAATTTCAGTCTGTTTTGGTACCATCCTTCCTTGTTATTCTCCTAATCCTCTCTTTTGAAATGGGAGCATTTACCTTGTGCCATTGTATATTGCTATGTTGAAGTGTGTAATTTGTTTTTGGTTTTTATAGGGGTTCACAGCTAAGAGTTGCCCTGAGTCTCAGAAGAGATTTTGAACTTGGGCCTTTGAATAATGTTGGAAATGTTAAGATTATAGGGACTTATGGAGGTGGACTGAATGCATTTTACATTATGACATGACACAAGTCTTTTGGGGCCAGTGGAAGAACTGGATGTGAAGTGTTGGGCTGATGTGTCAGGGGTGTGCTCCCCTTTGCAGCAGGGCTATTCTTGAAGACTTTGGAAACTTTAAGAGGTAGGATTCGATTGGAAGAAGTAGGTCACTGGAGGAAGGTCCTTGGGGGACCCCTCTCTCTCTCTCTCTCTCTGTTTTCCTCCTCTCTGCCAAGAGGTGAACAGCTTTCCTTTGCCACATGTTTGCACCACAACAATGTTCTGTCCAACCACATGGAGGCAAGCAACCATGGACTGAACCCTCAGAAACCAGAGAGCCAAAGTAAGTCCTTCCTCCCTTAAGTTGCTCATCTTAAGTATTTTGGTAGCAGTGACAGAAAAGTAACTAATACACAAGGTTAAGGTGATTAAAATTAGATAAATGTTAATTTCTGGAGGTTTAAGCAAGACAAAAAAATTATAGGAAGCAGGAAATGGTGTAACACCAGGAAGGTCATCACTAAGTCAATAAAGTTTTTCTTTAGGTGTTTAGTTATTTTTATGCTGACTCCCTCCTGAACCAAATATTTCCCTCAATCCATTCTTACGTGCTTCATACTATTGTAACTATTTTTGACATTTTATCTAAGATTTTAAATGTATGAGGAAATTATGCTATAACTGTTAAATTTACCTTACCAATAATACCTATGTAACACCTGTTTACATGCTGCTATGAGAGCCAAAGTTGAAAAATATACAAATATAAAAATTTTGAATATATTTGGATAGGTAAATTTCTATTTCTATAGATACATCTATTTTAACATATAAGCATATAAGTTGTCATTCCCTCAAAATTAGAATTGTGGTTTTATGGATTCTATTGGCTGCATGGTTATGCTTTAGGATTTTTAGAAATCCAACTCAAAATGTGGAAAATTTGCTACTTTATGCATAAAGAATCTTCACAAGTCAGGAAAATTAGTTGGACATTCTTTTGACATAGTCTGCATATGTAATTTAAAAATAAATTCATTCTTCTCAAAATAGTCAATCATATTGCTATTATACAGTTTATCTTAAGTTACCAGTAATAATAGAACACTGTTGAATGTATATGTATATCTTTGGGAAAGTAACAAAACATTGATGATGGTTTTAAAAACATTTAAAATTATATCCAATGTGTAGTTTATAGGAGACATTAAGCTATTTTATTAACAATAGGAGTATAAAGAAATGCTTAAACAAATATGAGGCAAATGTATATTCCTGACATTCTAAAAATATCCCTTTAAATAAAACCAGCACACTTAAATAATGTCCTAAATTTAAACAACTAATGTATTCAAGGTCTCCTGCGCTCCCCAAAGTGAAAAGTTTGACATGCACTTACCAACAGTATCACATGGTTCATCTTTGTGTACACAGAAATCTTTCCTAGGAAGAAAAGTTGAAAATCAAGGCAAATTCTTCTCCATAATCAGTATATGTCATGTGACTCATTTTAACAGTTACATAATTAATTGAATTACAATTTTATCTCAACATTTAATAAAATTTATAAGACTAGCAATTTTAATTCTTAGAAAATGTAAAATTAATTAAAAATTTGTGGCAAATTTATATTGGAAACATTATTGTCACATTTCCTAGACAATATTTCAAAGACAAAATCCCATTCTATTTTGAATGTTTGCAAGATTTCATGGCTTCATTACAAAAAGGCTATATTTGCTGTTGAGAGATTGCTTTCCATTTGAGAAGATATTGGATGCTATCTACTTCCTAACACAAGAAAAATTTCCATATTGAAGTTTTAAGTATAAGGGATATACAATTTAAGGCAATATAACATTTTATATCATAAGATTGGCAAAATTTGAGAGACTGAGGATCATTTTAATAAATCTATAAGTAACTTAGTATTTCATATAAGTGAGGTCTAATTTTGAATAATAGTCTGTAATTTGCTCTTTATTTACCACCATATCTTGGAAAGCATTCCCTAATAACACTTCACTCTTGTACCAATTACTTAGGATTTCATAGACCATAATTTAGTAGAACTTAATCATTAAGAGTATATGAAGAGGGATCCAAGAGGGGCAGTTAAGAGAAGGAATCAGAAATCCTGAGCTCTGTGATTTCAGAAACCACTTTGAGACATGGGAGCTACATTTGGGTAATTCTGATTTTTTCCAGCCAACTAAATAACTGCCAACACATAGGGTACACATAAAACTCAAGGACCAACCCTTAAAACAGCTTTTAATTTCACCCAACAGCTGGGGAAATCCCAGCATGGCACAGCCACTAAGGCATGTCTGCCCTGGGAAAAGTCCTCTGGCCATTGTCCCCTTTCCTTTCTTTCTTTCTTTTTTTTTTTTGAAAAAAGCTGAAGGTAGAGCATCAAACAGAACTGAACCCTGCAATGTACAGGACCCCTAACCCATGGAAAGCCTATCTATGCCCTACCAGGCTGACCCATACCCATTAAGCTTCTGTTTTGAGAAAAGCTACCCACCATTTCTCCCTACTGGCAGATAACAAAGCTGTTTGAGTAAATTTGCTAACCCAACAGGAGACCACCACTCACCACATGCACCTTGCCCTGGGCACATAATCCAGCACAGTTAGTGGCAGATTGCACTACCCCCACCACCCCCAATAAAACTGAAAAATATAGACAGTGAATTGTAATCTAGCACTGGCAGCAGAGTTGGGGTGGAACACTGAACCTATCTCAGAGAATGGGGGGTGGGCAAGAAGCCAAACTCAGGGTGGGGCAAGGAACAAAGGCTGAGAGCTGGGGTGGGGCAACAAGTCAACCTCCCACAGCAGGGGCATGTAGATTGATGAGCTATTCTTCTGGGACTGTGGGTGGTATACAAAACTGAATTGCCTCACTGTGCTGGGGGAGGAGCTGACTAGCCAAAGTCGAAACTATAGAGCAACTCAGCTGTCACCTGGTGAAAACAACAACAGATCAGACCACCTTGCACAAACTGGCAGTGAGCTATCACAGATCTCAATTGCAACCTGCACTATGGACAGAAGGAACCAAATACTGCTCACAAACTGGCCATCTGGTAAGAACACTGCAGAGATCCCACTTGTAATAGATGGCCCATCAGACCAAGGAAAGCAGGAAAAAAAAAACCAAAAAACCTCCTGTTGATTTCCCCCAAAGCTGTGTGACAAGAGAGCAGCAGCACCCTTTCCCAAAAGCCCAGAATACCATACCTGAGAAGAGACAGGGGCACCAAGAAACTTCAATCATAAGTGCCAATACCTGGATTAGACACAAAAGGAATAAGTCCAGAACTTTTGCTGAACTGACCATACTTTTTGTTGTTGCTGTTGTTTTCTTTTTTCTCTTTTTTCCTATGTTTTTCTTGTTTTCTTAGCTCTTCCCATTTTTTTACTTAGTATTTTTAATTTTACTATTACTATTTTCTTATCCCTATTTTTATCCCCTTTACTTTCTCTCATTTTCTTGTGGTACAATCCATTATTCTCCCCCAACTTTTCTTTCTTTCTGCCCTTTTTCATCCACTCTCTCCCCCAGACTTCACCTCCTCCTCCTCACCTTCCTGTACATGATACCTCACTACCCCACACTCCTCCACACTTACTACCCACTGATTAGCCTACTGTACCAACTGTACAGATCCCCACCCCTTTGCAATCCCTGATGCAAGCACCCTTCACTACAACAGTAGAACTACACCCAAATGCACACTAAAGCTCCAAAACTCTGTAGATACCACACCTCTTTCCCCACTCATGTCATTCTCCCCTTTCTGCCTACCCTTTTAGCACCACCTTTTTAAATTACCCAAGTTTCTATCTCTATCCAAACAAGCTTTCTCCCTTGCCTAAGGGTTCTCTGTACACTAGGGTTCTTTATATACTATGTAAACAACTGATCTGGCATTGGACCTGTCAATTTGTTATTGTTAATTTACAGGCCAGGGACAGAAATATCATATTAACCGAGGTAACTGAGCCAATCACAACACATTAATTAAATCAAGGGAAAGAAAACAGGTGACTAAAACTGCCAACTAGCTAATCAATAACAAAGGAGCACAGCACTAATTAGAAGCATGGGGAGAAGAAGAAGGCCAGGAAATTTCACTGCTCAAAAGAACAACATTTCAATAGAGAAATTAATGGGAAATGAAGAAAATGGATACCCAGTTTTGACCAAAAAAAAACCAATAATAAATATCACCAATGAGCTCAATGACATCCAAAAAAACAAATCTCTCAAAGAAGAAATCATGGATGAGCTTAATGAGATACTCATGGATAAGCTACAAGAGACATTTAAACAAAATGTACAGGATGAACTCAAGCAATATCAAGATGTCACAAATAAAAAACTTGAGAAGACACAAAAACAACTAAATGAACTCAGAGAGGACTTCAACAAATACCAAGGTAAAACAAAGGAGACTTCAAAAAAAGAGATACATGAAATGAAGACAAAACCAGACATGAAAAAGGAGTGAACAAAGATATGAAAAATCCCAGATAAAAGAATCAAACAGAAATCCTGGAAATAAAAAGTCCCTTAAATCAAATAAAAATACAGTGGAAAGCCACTCCAGCAAACTAGAACAAGTACAAGACAGAATCTCAGGACTTGAAGACAAAATAGATATTAAAGAAAAAACCAGAAGAACTCTTACACAAAAGACACAAGAGCTGTGAAAGAGATATGCAAGAACTCAGAGACCTCCATTAAAAAACCAACCTGCAAATCATGAGCATCAGAAAAGGAAAAGAGGTGCTACCCAAAGGGATATGAAATATATTCAACAAAGTAACAGCAGAAAATCTCCCAAATCTTGAGAAAGAGTTGCCCATCCAGGTGCAGGAAGCCTCCAGGACACCAAACAGACTTGACAAAAAGAGAACATCTCCATGGCATATTATTGTTAAAACAACTAGCAGAGAGACACAGAAAAAATATTGAAGGCTGTAAGAGAGAAAAACAAATAACATATAAAGATAAACACATCAAAAACAGCAAATTTCCACAGAAACGTTAAAAGCAAGACGTGTATGGAATAAGGTTATTTTGAGCACTGAAAGAAAACAATTTTAGCATGAGGATACTCTACCCAGCAAAACTGTCATTCAAAATTGATGAAGGAATAAAAGTCATCCACAATAAACAGAAACTAAAACAATATATGACCACCAAGCTACCACAGAAAATTATGGAAGGAATTCTACACACAGAAGATGAAAACAAACAAAATCATGAAAGGATGGGAAGTATTAAACCTCAAGAGAAGAATAGACAAGTACTCAGAGTATAGCACTGAATTGGCTGCACACATTCAAATCCTTAAACAACTAAATGTCAGGAAAAACCACATACCTGTCAATATTAACACTGAATGTTAATGTTCTCAACTCCCCCATCAAAAGACACCATTTGGCAAACTAGATTTAAAAGGAAGATCCAACAATCTCTCATTTATAAAAGACACACATTATTGACAGAAATAAACACTGGCTTAGGGTGAAAGGCTGGAATAAGATTTACCAAGCTAATGGCTCCTCAAAACAGGCTGGAGTAGCATTATATCAGACAAAGTGGGCTTCAAACTTATATTAGTCAAAAGAGACAAAGAAATTCACTTCATTACACATACACTAAAGGACTGAAAATCATATATAGACCCCAACAAAGTGGTAGTGGGAGAATTTAATACCCCTCTATCACCAATAGATAGGTCATCCAGACAAAAAAAAATCAATAAAGAAATCCTAGAACTAAATGAAACCATAGATCGAATGACCTGACAGATGTCTACAGAATATTCTACCCAACAACAACACAATATACATTTCTCTCAGCAGCTCATGGAACTTTCTCCAAAATAGACTTATCTTAGGGCACAAAGCAAGTCTCAGCAAATACAAGAAAACTGACATAACTCTATGCATACTATCTGATCACAATGCAATAAAACCAGAATTCAACAACAAAGACAACAGCAGACAATACACAAGAAATGAGGTTGAACAACACATTGCTCAATGATCAGTGGGTAATAGAAAAAGGAAGGGAGGAAATCAAAAACTTCCTGGAATTTAATGAGAATGAAAACACAACCTATCAGAACCTATGGGACACAGCAAAGGTAGTCTTAAGAGGACAGTTTATAGCCATGAGTGGGTATAGTAAAAGTTCAGAAATCTCTCAAAAGAATGACCTAATGTGACATCTCAAACTCCTAGTAGACAGATCTATACCATGCAATGAAACTGAAGCAGCAATGGAGTCTTCCAAAAAGAAAAGTCCAGGACATGACAGATTCTCCACTGAATTCTACCAAGCCTTTAAAGAAGAACTAATACCAACTCTCCTTAAACTTTTCCATGAAACAAAAAGGGAAGGAACACTGCCTAACTCA